ACGCGTGTATAAAGATAGATTTTCTCATATTTAATAATACTGGAAAAGCATAAATACAAACAAAACGTGTCAACATTCTAGAATGATGATCATCCAAATAACCCAAAAGAAACAATCTTAAATTGTGTTAAAGAAATTTGAAATGATAATTAACTGATTTTTCTTAAATTTCTAATTGGTTAATTATTACTTATACCGGTGTTTAAACTGATTATATTGTAATTAACAAGACAAATTTATTTTAATAGTTTAAAGTTAAGAAAACACAAATTTGCAGACCAAATTTGATAGCAAAAAAATAACTAAATCTTTGATTAAAAAAAAACTACATTAGTAGAAGAAACATTTCTTCTGCCTTTATTTATAGTTTTTATTTCTGTAATGATTCTGTAATGATCTGTATACCCATCTGTATCCCCAACTTACGAATTCCCGACTTACGAACTCCCGGACTTACGAACAAAATTCAGAAAGTTCTAACTTGTAACAAGGATATATAGTGATAAAAAAAATTAACTGTCCAAACAAAAACTGATAATTTCTTTAATAAAATATAATATTTTTGGAAGATCTGTACTTTCTGTTTTGTTCCATCGTTCTTCATTAAATAATTGTGATGTCTACATTGAAAAACATTTGTAAGTATTTTGTTTATTTTAATGTTACATTTTTTTCATATGTATGCAGTCAGTAATACGGAATTTAACATATATAAAAGTAAAAACCATGATAAAGGTTCCAACTGACGAACAAATTCGACTTACGAACAACCCTTTGGAACGGAAGTAGTTCGTACGTCGGGGGATACCTGTATTATAATTTTATCATTGTATACTAACTAATTATATTTTAGCACTTAGTCTGCAAGAGATGTAAAAAACTGGATTTAAGAACACTGATAAATAAATAAATTCACGAAAGAGAAGAATAAACGCTTCTGCTGCACATATTTATTTATATTTTTTTTTTCGTCTTTGCATTCGCCTTCAAAAAGTCAACAAGGTTTTACGTTTCATTGTCGAAGTTTAGTCTGGGGATCTCGTTGGCTCACCGAAACAAACGTACAATTGTGTTTTGTATAATAACTCAGTGAAAAAAAATAAACGAAGAAAACTTTCACTTTATTCCAAACTTTATTATTAAAAATTCAAAAACAGACAAATAAATATATAAAGTTGTTGTTATATAGAAATGTTACGTTTGGAAACAATGCATTTGATATTGTGGCGAGTCTTTTATGAGAATATACATTTCGATTTGAAATTCCCAGATTTAATGAAATTCCCTCCGACGAAACCACCACTTTATTAAAAAATTACAATTTATTATTATTACGTTCAAAAAAGAAAGAAAAGTTTATTATGATGAAAATACACTTTTGATGTTTGAATTCCTTGATTTAATTAAATTTCTTTTCTTTGTAATAAAAATTAATTAATTAAATATTGAAAATTTTCTAATTAATCTTTTAGGAACGTTTTATCCGATTACATTTTTTCATTCCTTTTGTCCCAATAAATGGAAACATCAAGACAATGTTAAATTTCACGCGCATATACACGACGAACACTTAGGAAAGTGCTTTAGTTGACTTGGAATACAAGTCAATTAGGGTTCTAATTGACAAAACCGCCGCCACGAGTGAAGTATCAACAGGATCATTGATTTTGTCGAGTATAAATTATTTTTTATTCGTTGATAATTCTGTTTCAGCTCACATAAATTACTTTCAATTAAATTACAAAAGTCAGAGTGCTCTCCGGACATTTTACAGCGTTTGCAGTGATATTTTCGAACTCTTGCTGATACGATGAAAAGACCGCCACGGAAAGACGACGAAATTCAATTTCCGCGCAAAACACGAGACAAACACAGCACTTTTGTTGCGAGATCGAACTTAATGCTGAATGAATGCAGCAACAGTAATAATAGATTCTGCGGTCGAGTTTACAATTTCCGAAGGAATTTCTTTATTTCCAATTGGAAAAAAAAATTAAAAAAAAGAAAGAATGTGCTTCGTATTTGCATACAGTTTTGGTATCGTACAATCACAAATTCTTTTATACAAAATCTGCATTTTTCATTACATACATTATCATAGTAATTACTTATACATTTGTAACTATAAAGAAATTCATATTATATTCAACAAGATTCAGCACGTTCATGCAGCACATTTACAGTTTTTATAAAAAAGAAATCCAGTTAACTTAAGCAATGAAATAAAAGCATCCGACAAAGGCAAATAGTTGGAATTTACATGAACTGAAGATATTAACCTGGAATGGTTAAAGTAAAAACTTTAAATTAAACTAACTGTAAAGCGTATTACGAGAAAACTAGTTTAAAATAAAATCAGACAACGTAATTGTGGGCAACAACAGCGAGCAAAGAAAACCATAAAATGAACATAGACATTGTTTTAGCTATAAATCTACTTGACAACAGCTTAAGAACTTTATTTATTTTTTTTATATTTGATTAACTCCTGCCTTATGTAATTTAAGAAAATCGCGCTTTCCCACGATTTACAACCTCAAGATTTATTGAACGTGACAAATAGTAAAGATTGTAAATCATATAGAATGAAATTAATAAGTTTTCCATCTTGTTTTTGTTGTTGTTTAATTTTGCAAATGGAAGACACAGTTCCGTTCTGCGTCTTCCTGTTCGTCCTCCTTCTTCATTTTCCAGTGTTGTTAACTTGTAGCAGAACAAGTAGGGTAATAGTGTTAATAATATATGGTTGGTGCGGTTGAGCGCAAAAAGCGGGTTACAGAAGTTCCACTGCGGTAAACTTCTTTCGCATCTTTTCCATTTCTATTTTTCGAAAGTCCGCGCAAATCATTCGTATTAATTCTGCACCAATTTCAATAATAGGATGCAGCATGACCCAAATCACTACCCAGACACGACCTTCTGCACAAGATAAGATAACGGTTCGATGGTACACTTTGTGTAATTAAGAATTTAACGTGTAGTTCATCATTTGATTATTTTGTTAGAAACTGTCTATTTGTTTCAAATTGTTGAGCTTGAAAGCTCAATAGAATTCCTACGAGTAAAGTAGTTCGTTGATCGTTTGAATGGAATTGTGACATTCTGAATTCGTTGGATCAACACGCGTTTCTTCCATTGTCCGTTTTCGAAGTCAGTGTTTCAGTGGGACGGAAAAGGTGTTAATACTTGTAAATTAGTTATGCGCTTCGGAATTCCTACTGCTTCGAGCTATTAGTTTCTCAAACATTGAATAAACTGAATGGAATCCATCAGTTTTAAAACTCACAGAAGCAACATTTAATATTGAAAAATAAATTCGGTATAAAAATATGTTTCTACATTTAATTAAAATAAATGTAATTTTTTATGATTTTAATAATAACGAACGAAAAAAATCCATTCACTGAACGTATTTAATTATGGAAATGCCAGCGAAATGGTTCATTATGTGATCATCAAACGCATACGAATCGGAATGACCGACACAAACAATGCGCATATTTTTTTTTATTTTCGTTGGTCATTTAATGGATTTGCCGAATGCGAACATTCACTCCCAATTAAACGTAAACGGACAAATTTCCTTTCATGTTCGTTTATTTACCTATTCTGTGCGTTTCCATAGATTTTTTTTATATAAAGTTTTATAAAGTGACAAGAGACAAATAATTCGGGAGATCAAAGTGCACAATAATTGAATCGGACAATTGTATTTATTTTATTAATAACAACATTTTGTGGGAAAGACACATAAAATATTTGAGTTTTGCTCTAACTGTTATTATTTAATTAACAAACAAAATATGTATTCAATTATTGACTTAACGTTGCTATGGATATTATCATAGTTGTAAAAGTTTTGTTTGTTTGTTATGGAAACTACTATAATTGCTACGGACCTTCCGAAATCTTAAAGAGGAATTTCTACCAAGCGATAATGAATATAAACTTTACTAATTGCCGAAGTTCAGAGTATAGACTTAAGCGCTTTCAATTTGTAACTTATCGTTTTACAAAAGTATGATTACCTGTATAAAATGAAATATTTAATTAATAATTTAGATTGATAATAACAAATATTTTGTACAAAAATTGATATTGCAAAAAGTAAAAAACATATTTTTACTCAAAATAAAATAATATTCACGTGTGTTTATATGGATACATTTTGCATGTTTATTTATTGAAATATTAGAATTTATATTACTATCAATATTTCGCATGGTTGTACCAAAAATAAAAAAAATGTTTCCGATAAAAATATTGTAATGGAAAATACTAAAAATAAAGTAACAACGAAATGGATGCGGCAAATTGCCACTTTGTGAGAACGAGATTTCTTTTCTTTCGGACTGTTAGCGCAATTAGTTTCTTAATTGCTGCAATAGCTTTATTGGAGTTTCATTTTATCATTCTCCTTTTCTTTTTCCTTTTTTTAAACTGCAACATGTTTCTTGAAATGGACGAACCGAACTGAATCTCACACATTCGACTCGATAATAATTTCGAAATTGTTAATTGCAAATAAAATGTCACGCTTTATATTTGGAAACGTAAACAATAATGAGAGGTGGTCCAGTAAATTGTAGTTGAACGAGACACGCGATTTCTTTTGTTGCACGATTAAGTTCTTAATTGTTGAGGCAATTGTAGCCGTTTAATTGAACAATTGTTGCAGAGTTGAGTGTTGTTATTGGGTTTCTTTGTGGGAATCATTGCGATCTAGCAGTGAAAGTGCATTCGAGGAGCAGGAGGAAATTTGAAAATTTTTATTATTCGGTCACCAACGTCGGAATCCGTGTCAAGGTGAGACGCGATGAAGACGAAACGAGAGCTCGCGGATCCGCGATGGTTTTTGTTTTCTGCGCTTTTCTCTTTTTTTTCTCTCTCTCTTTCTCTCCATTCGTTTCGTTCGCTGTTTCTCTTTGTTTCTCTCGTTTTTCCAGAGGTGTTTGACCGGAATCGAAGCCTCTGGTTTTGCGCGGTTTCGTTTGACTTACCATTAGGAACGATGGACTGCTGCTTGCGACCGCGTCTCTGCGGAGTGGGCTGAAGACCTGGGGCGGAAACAGCCCTTTTAGGAACACTTGGAATCAGTCTGTTGAAGCCGGGTGGACGGTATCGCGCACTTTTCACGTTCTGCTGCAGGAAGTGGTACATGCTTTGGGCCTTGTGCATCCCGGATGTTGGGGTGTTTGTTGGTAGACGCGGCAGGGAGTTTGTCGTCGCAGTACCGGTCTGCAAGCTTCTGGGGAGGGTTGAACCTCTTTCGATTTCCTCATCGTCATCTTCGCCGTCCGCTGAGGCGCCGGAACCGCAGGATGCGTCCGGTACGCTGGATCTTCTTCTCGAGGGCTTCGGCGCAACCCAGAGCTTATCCTCGCTGTTAGCACCGCCGATACTCCCGCAACTCCTCACCCTGTCAAGCTGTTCCCTGCTCAGGCTCTTGTGCGAGAAGAGCAGGTCGCCTGCCGATCTCCTCTTCGCGGCAATTGCTAACGCAGAAGCCGATGCTGACCCCTCGCCCCCAATCAGCGAGAGCTTGTTACGCGAATCCGTTGCTAATAATGCGGACTCAAAGCTACCCCTCCAACTGAAACGCTCACAGTCACTAGTTTCACGCTCCTCGGCAATATCAGAAACGCCGCTGCTGCTCTGATGCAAATTCCTGTTCTCGCTAACAAGCAAATCATGAGATCGGCTACGCGGAAGTAAATTATAACTGGAAACCGTGTCCTCCAGCGCACTCAATTTATCCGCCAAATTGCTGTCCGACGTACTATCGTCATCTTCCGTGGTGGTCGTCGAGGCAGAAGACAGCTTCTGCTGTAACCTCTTGTGATAATGTCTCGTCTTCGGACTGTTGCTGGCATGGCTCTCGCCGCTTGAAACCTCGTGCATCAAAGCCACCAATCTGCTACCAATGTGATGCATCACCTTCGCAATCAGAGGAGGACTGTTATGTGGCGTGACCATCTCCTCGTTAACATCCCCAGTTGCCATCTTCTCAAACGAAGCGACAAGCTTCTGATAGACAAACGCCGTTTCTCGGTTAAGCCCGTGTCCCTCATCAACAATACCACCATCTCCTTCGTCGCCCTCTTCATCATCTGCATTGCTGTCGAACTTGTTGATAATCTGCTTACAGCTATCCGAGATCTGCTGCTGCAGCTCCGATTTGTTGCACACAGCAGTCCCTTCGAGATCGCTGCTCGTATAATCCGACGAATCGTATGAATCACTCCACGTATCCTCGCTGCTCAGGTACTCCACTATTTCCCGCACTTGATCGTCCCTAATTCCCGGCACAGTCTTCATGAGCCTAGTTAGCTCGTTTTCAAAATACACTAATTGCGGCGGTTTGCAGCGATTCTTAAAGCGCGGACTCGGTATCGGTTTCGGAGATCCCTTCAATCCGAGAATCGGCGTCGTCGGTTTCGAATTGTTGTTAGCCACCATCGTCTTGAAGAACTGCCGCATCTTCGACATCATCAAATTCGTCTCCTCATCAGAACTCCAGTTGTTAAAGCTATCCTTACGAGTGAGCGACGTCGCTGGAGGTGTCGAAAGCGTCGTGATACGATCCTCCTGACGCTTCTCCTCGGAGATATTGTAAAGATTCGTCTTAGTTTCCGGTTTAGCAGCACTAATCTCAGGAGTTGAGTTGTCACGCGTATCCTTATTCAGATCATCATTGCTTCCTATGAAGCCGCTGTCGCGACTCTGCTGTTTGTTGCGATTGTTGAAATCGGAGTTATCCGATGGTTGGGGTGTTTTGTGCCCATCCTCGTCGGAAACGCAATCTTCGTTCATCTCTTGCGTAGTTTCTAAAGCTTTGAGTTCCTCTGCTGGCGAGTTAGCACCGCACGACTTTTGCTTCTTATTTTTCTTACGTTTGACGGTGTCGAATTGACCATCGTTTTTTTCGAAATTATTGGAATCATCATAGGTATCGGTGTCGGAGCTTGATGAGTTCTCTGAATTTAGATTGTCGGCGTTCGGTTCGGAAAGGTCGGGATTCGATAGCAGGTTGTCTAAAGATGATGAATGAGATCTGCCCGTGCCTCTGGCTCTAACTAAACGTTTTCTTCGTTGTTCCGGGCTCGGTCTGCCCTCGCTGTCGCTGCCCACGCTGCCGTCGGAATCACGTCGTTCTGCTTTGAAGCTGGTGAATCCGCTAAGGAAGTACTTTTCTAAACGTGAAGACGCTAAATCAGCTGGGTCGGCGTTTTCGTTGCTGTTAACATCGTCAGCGCCTGCAAACGAATCCATACTCTCGCTGCAGATACTGCTCGTCTCCGAGAAAGTGTCCTCGCGGTTTTGGTTGACATTGCCATCGCCTAAACCAAAGTAGAAATACTTTTCAAGATCTGTTGCAGACGTGGGTCGAATTTTCTTGTTCGTATTCGTTGTTTGCTCCACTTCACTATCCTCGCAACTCTCTTCAACGATTGTGTGCAAGGTAAAGTCGATGGCAGCTCGATGGTATCCTCGTAATTCATCTTCGTGGTCGATGGCCGCTGTACAATGCAAGGTGACTTCCTCGCTGGATGAGGATTCATCGTTGGTGCCGAAGTCATCATCATCATCATCGTCGTCGTCGTCATCATCATCATCGTCTTCGTCGTGCGAGAGATTCTCCACCCAGGAGTCATCGTCCGCGAGGCCCTCCTCGAGACAGACGACAGCCGATAGCGTATCGGCGCCGGTAATAACCGTCACACTCTCCCCTCGCTGATGACTGTTCGAAGCATCCACCGTGACATCCAAATTGTCTTCATTGTGATGAGGCAAGCTCCTAGAAACAACAGGTTGTTTGGGCGCGTTCGAACGATGCCCGTTCTCCAACGTCAACGTGAAATAGCCCGTCAGTCCTCCCTGTTCCTGCTCCTTCTGTTGTTGTTGTTGTTGCTGTTCGGGAACAGATGATAACGACGCTTCTTCATTATCATCGCGACACGCTGCTTCCTCTTGCCAATTCGTGTGCCTCACTATAACGTCGTTATCGGGTACCAGTGTCGTGGTGTCGGTGGTGACGACACTGACAGGCGCGTACGATGACGGCGGCGCAGAATCCTGGGTGATCATGACGAGGCTCGTATAACGCGCGGCATGGCGTAATACACTTGGATCCGGCTCACCAATGACTGGTGAAACACCTGCGTTTGCACCGCGGCAGCGCGTGTCCAGTGCGGTCCCCTCCATGCTAACGGAATCGGGTTCGTCAGACCGGATCCCCGCGTTCGCCGCTTCGTTCCATTCACCGCGATCCACAGAAACCAATACTTTCAGCTCAGATAACACAGCTCCATTATCATCCTCGCATCCGTCATCCGCAGAGATCTTGTTGTTCTCTACGTCGCTCGAATTCAACGATTCCGCGCTCACATCCGACAGACCCGGACTCGACATGTATTCCTTCCTCCCGACACTACCCTCCTCAGTCTTCTTATCACAATCACCAAATGCCACATCACAACCCTCGACCACTCCAACATCAACTTTCTCCGTAAACTCTCTTCTTTCACCATCTTCCTGCAATGCCTTAACGCAAGTCAAAATTATCTGACCATCGTCACCATCCTCATCGGAATCATCTGATGTGGATAAATCGCTATTGGAACTGTTGCTGTTAACCACGTAGATCCTGGAAAATTTCTTCCTCTTTTTGTCGGCAACGGTTCCGGTATCATCGCTATCCGTGTCATCGGATCCGGAGCTGCTCATATCGTGTTGGTCGCAATCACTGCTCGGCAGAGCATCATCACTTTCCCGATAATTAACCTCGGCTACGTTGTACGTACGCGAATACTTCGGACTAGCCTCTTTATCGTCATCATCATCATCGAGCTCCTCCAAGTCGGATTCTGCTGAAGAACTACTCAAGTATTTGCTCTCCGATTCCAAATATCCTTCGCCGAATGTTCCTTGCGCGTTGAAAATGTTCAATTTGCTCTCCTTCATCGTGCTGTCCGCCTTGGCCTCATCATCCGACGCCTGGTCCGAGGTGTTCTGGTCGGCCGCAACTGGCGCACTGGCGGTGCTCTGTGGTGCAGCGCCGGTGTTGCTCTGCAGAGCGGATAGAAATGGATTCGGTTCACTTGAGCTTATCAGAGGCCAGACGATGGGGGCCTGGTTCAGATATGGCCAGAGGGCGCGTGGAAGTAGACACAGCTGCGAGCGGATAGCCTCCAATGTCTCCGGCGTGTACATCACCACCGAATCCTGGGGATTCCAATGCATCGGCACCGGTATCGGTACCGGAACAGGTATTGGCACATACTGCGTGGGCGCACCGCAACTCTGGCAAGGACCTTTTTGTGGGGATTCGCTTTGCTCAACAGGCTTCTGGTGGATGCACTGCACCGTGACCTCATCCATCGCGTGACGCACTTCTACATCCTCTCCGTCCCTGGCTCTCGTCAAGAAGTTGTAACTATCTGTCGAAGCTGGTGAACCGCTGTCCAATCTGGTGGTATCTTCGTCTGTGCCTGTATCGGATTCCCTCGTCCTCCTGTAAACCAGTGGTGATCCCAATGGAGAATCCAATGCACCACGTCTGTACACCCCCGGCGATCCGAACGGTGAGTTCCAGTTGAACTTAACGCTGGGTCCGCCCGGCTCGAAATAGTCCCAATCGCACTCGTCTATTGGGAAACTGGAGGCAGTCGAAGAGCTATCATTGTCGTCAACATCCTCCTCCTTCGATGAACTGTCCGAACTTATGAACACCAGCTTGTAATCGTCGCCTTCTGGCAGCAGGATGTCTAACAGATCGGAATCGGCTCCTCTCCTCCAACCTGGCCACGATACACAGAGTAAATACAACAGCATAAAGTCGCCGCCCTCTACCAGCGGCTCGCCCACAAGAATACGGCCGCTTTTTATGGGCATATATGCAGATACCCACTACACCTCCTCCGTCACCGTCCTTCTTTTTTTTTCTCTTTCTCTCTCTTAAACATTATTTTTCATTATTATTATTTATCCTCTCGGCGTGCATTATTTATTGTTATTGCTGGAAGCCAAACATACCGATAAACCACCACCTTCTACCCTAAATGCTAAACAAATACGGCTAGCGCAGAAGAAAACATACAACATCATAGCGAGGTCGCCGACCCGGATCCTTGGAGCCGCATACAAAAGAGCAAGAGACGCAACGAAAACTTTTACTTTGTACTATCACTATTTAGCGTTCCAACAAGTGAATCACCGTACACCACACAGCAGTCACACCTGCACAACTGGTCATCTACTTACAAGATTAAGAGGATTATCGTTGTTCTTGAATCTTGCAAACCATTTTAAGCATGAAACCGACATTGGTTAGCAAAGCTTAAAATAGATGGAAAAAAGTATACCATATCCACCATTTTGTCACAATGCATGCAATGTATATGGAATAAGATACCTATAAACAATCAAATTAGATGTTTGTAGGTATATTATCCCATGATACAAATATATTTATGTTAGGTGTTAAATACTAAATGTTTGCTTGGTTTTGATAACAAATCAGAACTACTTTTTGCAACTTAAATCTACAAACCCATTAAGTGACCGATCTAAATATAATATTGTCGTTTGAAAAAAGAATATGAGATTATAAACTGTTAATAGTTAAAAATATGTAATTTTGGCGGTAAATGAAGCTTTTCATTTTCAATTAGTTATATAAGGAAACATGAAAGCGTGCTGCAGTGATTTTAATCCGAAAGAGAGTACATCAAAAGCCAACATCGAAACACGTGAAAACAGCAAACATTCCTATTACTCCTAACAAGATTTATATGTAAATATTTAGAAAACTTGTTAGGGATGTCGTTAATAGTTATAAACTAAAAGCCACACTAACCAAACCCTGTTAGTATATAGTTATTTAGTAATTGCCCATAAAGTAGGTATAAAAAGGAAACAAATAGAGGTAAGTAATTAATTTCAAGAGATAAAAATGGAATATGAAAATGGTCTCCAAAACAAATGAACGATATTAATGTAATTAAATAAATTACCACACCTAGTTTAACTATATGTATGTCCTGAGACAAGCCTTTCTAATGCTCGGTCAATAAGTCACAAGGAAAAAAAGCTAAATATTAAGATCTGCCTAATTATAGTTTCTGGCTTACCGGTGTCCACAGCTTGCATTTTCTTCATGTCCTGACGCCGTCTGCGCACCGTGACTTTCCGAAACACTGTGCCGCTGATTGGTTCAATGTCGCATAATTCTATCGGTTTCTCTTCCTCGTTTCCGCAACAGGAGGTCTCCTCTTCCTTCTTTTTTTCTGTGCCGTTGTTGAAGCTCACCCTCTTCTCATAAGTCTTACGAGGTGATGGCGGCGGTTGTACGGGAGCGGAATCCACGCTCTTGCTTCCTTCGAATACCTTCTTGACTGGTTCAGGAGGGTTCTCCGATCGTGAATGCAGCAGCTTTCGTTTCGTTTTCAGCAGCGAATCCTCGCTATCGGAATTATCGGATTCGTAATCGGATTTTTTGTGAATCGAGGCGTATTTGATCAACGGATTGATCCTCTGCTTTGGTTCGGGTTTCGTCTCTGGACGATCGTTGTAGACGTCCTCAGAGTGGGATCGCTTCGCAGTAGAGTGTTTCTTCGTGGGGCTGTTGATATCGCTATTATCTTTGGCCTGGTGCGCAACCAGAGATGGATAACTGCCGATGTCCTGACCCCTGGGAAGACTGCTATAGGGTCGATTCTCTGCGGAAGAGCGCACCACGTTCCAGCGTGGAGTAGGGTCTAGAATTTGCAAGTACGCTGATTGTAGTCGAGATTTACTACACGATATCAATTTTTGATTTTTAAAGAGAATCCTCACTTGATATGGTCCACGACCTCCTGATGGTCCGCTTGATTATGTCCGCGGCAGGAACGTAAACTTGATTGTCTCGCCTCCTGCTGGGACGGCGAATGAACTCGTTCATCCACTCGCCAGACGCCGCCTGAATTTCCCTGCAAAAATCATCAAAAATAAATACAAATGCAACTTGCGATGGTCTTGTTTTCTTTATCATTACATGTGTTTATGGCAAACTGTGCAGACCCATTCGGTAGTTCTGAGAGAGTACTCTCTGCATCCCTTGCAGACTTTCAGTCTGCAAGCCCTGCAGTAGGCGCCGCGATTGATAACGCGCCCCAATTCGATCCTGCAACGGCCGCAAGACCTGTCCGGATCTGGAGTAGGACTCTCCAAGTCTGCCGACGGTTTCAACGCTCCCTTCCTACGCAGCAGCTGCAGTTCGGCTTTCAATCGTCTGAAACAATTTTGCAACTGATTACTTATCTAATCATCCTGCTATCTGACTATTTGATCTATTCGTAATCGAGGTGTGGGGACGGAACCCTCAGTTTACCACAAACATGGATCAGAACCGTAAGTTTTACAAAACATATACAATTTGGTATAAGCTCTTCGTTATTTTTCTGATCAGCAATCGCTAAAGCTCTCGTAAGTTTCGAGGCGACGGATGAAGTTGACCTGTCTTACAAGGCGGGAGATGTTGTCAAAGTTATTAAACTGTCGCCGGGCATCGAATGGTGGAAGGTGGAACTGAACGGGAAAACTGGGATGGTCCACAAAGATTCGTTTGAATTATGTAAGCAACTTTTATTTACAATCGTAACCATTCCAAACCCATTCACTCGTAGATAAGTATATGGTAGTTGTTGATTATCTGCAACCCCAAGAAGGTTATCTCCAGTTAAACACAGGAGATTTGATAGATATAGTAGGCGTGCAAAAATACAAATGGATCGGGAGGAATCAACACGGAGAGGAGGGTAGCGTAGATACTAATTATGTTAAACAATTGCCTCCATTCCCCAAAAAAACTGGTAATAATCAATTAGTATTAAATTTTATTATTTATTATATTGTTTTTAATATCTTTTTAGATACTTTGGATCGAATAATACCGCACGAAATTTTGGTGGATCTGCGTAAGGGTAGGCCACGTAAAGCATCTAGGAGCGTTATATCACCTCGAGCTCACACAGTGGACATCGTTGAAGTCACAGAAGAATTCGATGAAATTCCGGTTGAGCCTGCCGAGGATAAGGTCGAGATGAGACCAAAGACTCAAAGACCCACTCTGCCATGGATGCAGGAACTTTCCGATAAGAACAAGACGAGCAGCTTGTTCTCTAATCACGTGCTCTTGGATCAGAAGACGACGCCGAAGATCAGGACTCGCGAACTTCCAAAGAACTTCAGCAAAATAAAGGACATGTGGAACCAAAGCGATACTCAGGTTACCACCTCCACGTCGACCGTTCGGAGCAGCTTCAACAACGGCATCTTACGCAAAAGCATTCGCGTCGACTCCATCGAGAGCCAAGAGCATCCTGGTAACGCAAAAACCATCCAAAGAAGCAGCCTAACCACGACGCTAATCCAAAACGATATGAACGAAAGTCCAATTGTGCAAGAGACACAAACCAAAATGTATCGAGAGATCAAACCGCCTGTCCAAACCAAAGGTAGGGTAAATGCAAACCTAATTGTAGATCCAGTGAAAACAGAGAATCAACCCAAAATGTATCGAGAGATGGAACCGTCTATCCAAACTAAAGATAGGACAAACGTAATGCGAATCCGAGTAACAAACGAACAAATTCCTGTACAACCAACCCAAACAATTGTGCAAGAGAAACAAACCAATATGTCCCCATTTGGGGACCCATGGAGAAACAGACTAACTTATCTATTACCAACCAAAACTATTGCACAACCAGAAAAAGCAGCACCGATCGTGGTTACGGTGCAACCAGATAAAAGCCTTGAAAATGCTCCACCTCTACCAACGAGAAAATCGATTCCGAAATTGATACCACACGTACCGAAAATCACTGCGAAAGAAGAGGAAGAACCGGTGCCCAAACTACCGGAGTCCGAGCCTCCGAAATTGACGAAGCAATGCGCAATTCCGATCCATAAAGAAGCACCGAAAGATGACGCAAAACAAATCGCAACACTGAACACCATGGTGCGGGAGCTTCAGGAGGAGAACATGGAAATGAGACGGAGGATGTCTGCGCTCGAAAAGAGGCTAGAGTTCCTCATAGAAAAGGTGCTGAGTTAAAGCGAAAGCGCCAGTCCGATCCATTTGCGCGGTCACCTATAACCCACCTACAACATATATGTTCTAATCTGCAGTTTCCTATATTCATTATTAGATAACGTTATACAAATGTACGTTGCGCAGTGTGTGCCTATTAAAGTCGATTAAATTATTTGCGAAGCGAACGAAAAAAACCTCTCATGTGTATCTGTGTGTGTTATCCTGTTTCTTTCTAGTGCGATTCCCACGGGTTTAAGTAACAGCGCGAGGTTGTCTTTTCCACGAAAGAAAGGGCGATTTCAAAAGTCCGTGGACCCGGGGTTCACGGCCATCGCGAGCTTAGAAAGTTGTCCTTCGGATTCCGCCGATTAATCAAAAACTAATCGAAAACGCAAAAAAAAAAACAAGAAACAAATAAATAAACAACTTTTTCGTCAAAGATTTATGTTGCTCCCTCGTGCCAAATGTCACGGTTACGCAATTTCAATTCATCAAATATATAATTTACCTTTGACTCTTCAAGTATACAAAAATCTACAGCGTTTATTAAATTTGTAGCAGCCACTCTTCAATAGAGACCAAAATTTTCAAAAAAAAAAATCAACAGCTATTCTATTGTTGAATAATACTTAAATATACAAATTACAAACTTTTTTTACATTTCTATAAAGTTTTATCAAAATTATATATTTCATAAACTCAATTCGCGCAATTAATATCCTAATTGCTTACTGAGTTATAAAATTTTAAATTTTCAATATGATTTTACTCATTAACTAAAAAAAAAATAGATTAACATGTAATGATTGCAAACATTGAAACTTAAATTAATGCAGAATAAATTGATTCAGTCAGTAATTATCATTTAAAATTCAGTTTTTATTTTCTAAGGCACTTGAAAAGGTTATGGAAACCTGATAATATAGTAATTTCCATTAATTAGTTGACACGTTTGACCTAGTTAGAGCTTGAAAATCATTGAGAAATAAAGTGATAACAGCGCAAATTATCTATGAAAAAAAAGGTAAACTAATAAAACAAGCAGGTGATAATTTTGGTTAATTTCAAATAACACTATTAGAATCAATATAATTCAGTGATAATTAAAATATCCGTATGAAATTACCTGTTAATAAAAAAAGTTCTTTGTATGGATACATTTGACTGTTGTCCAAGTACGTCTAATTAGATTGAAGTAATAACGAAATGTGTAATTAGTTAATGAGTTTGGTCGGATGGAATGCTGGAAATGGATTGCTAATGTTGCAACCGACGGAGTTTTTCCTCGCATATTTTTTTAGAAAAAAAAATAGTTTAAAGCACGTAATCGTTGGGCGTTATGAATCATCGAATGTTGCACGTAATTGCATTGCATATCATTTCTGGATAGAAATCATATGTCCATGTTTCGAACAATTTAAACTTGATTTTCATCCACTTTTCGAGGGAAATGTCGAGAGAGATATCATTTGCTGTACGTTTAATTATTAATTTTTTTTTGCTCCGCGCGAAATGTAATTTCCGCGGTTCTATAAATAAAACGGCCGGAGAGTCTCTCCCCCTTCGTGTTTCGGATTGATTTACAACAACAACCAGGCGCAACTCTCTATCTCGCCCATCTCCCCGCAACCTCTGCTTTCTCCATGACCGCCCACTCTATATTTAGTTGGAGATAACATTAATATATCTATCTAACAACAATAACAACAACAACAATGGTCGAACGTATCTATGATACATCGTAATTCATTCCGTTCAATTTCCTTTTCGATGACGAATTTAAATTGGCTTTTGGCGAAGCCCCCTCGCTTTAACGCAACAATTCCTAGGTTTTCTTTCCCACACGCACCGAAAGCGGTCTCGACCACTGCAAATAAAGTGCACCGCGACAAAAAATGAATTACATTATATAACGCAATTAAATAAATACAAATTTTATCATATTCACGAGCCAATCGAAACGCTTTGTAGGAGGCGATTGCGCTGTGCGACATCCATTATTCAATTGAATATTAATCGCGTTTGGAATATGCAAAATTGATGCTGTAAGGTCAGAGAGGAGGAGAAGCCGAGACTTATGTAAGTTCTGCTTCCTTTTGTACCGGTTGGCACGATGGAGGACGGAGAGCGATAAGACCGAGGATACAGTTACTTCTGACGCGACGAAACTCAAGTTATTTTACTTCGGAAATGTGAGCTGCTGCTGCTGCATCGCGGGTTAAAAATAATGACTTTCAAGACAATTTCAATGAAGAAATCTTTTGACTATACGCGGATGGATCGGAAAGTTAAGAGAAAACATATTTCTCGAGATAAATTTTTTATTAATCTTTAAACTCACTTTCCAAGATATTCCATTCCTTCATCAATATAAATATAATATGAACTCTCTAAATAACCATTAGCTGCAATTACTTTAGTATTTCATGCAAATGTATTTCTACACACTTTTGTTCATCAAAGTTTTCTGTTTGTTATTTCATTATTTCAACATCTTAGATTTTTTTACTGACGAAATAATGGTAAATCTTATATAGGTATCCCCCGACTTACGAACTCCCGTACATACGAACAATATTCTAAAAGCTCTAACATGTTACAAGGAGATATATAGTGATAAAATTAATTAACTGTTCAAACAAAAATTGAATTTAATTAAATAATTGTGATGTCTACATTGAAAAGTATTTGTAAGTATTTTGTTTATTCAGTTAGTCTTACGGAATTTAAAATTTATAAAATTAAAAACCATGATAAAGTATAGTAAGTATAAGTATATTATGAAATTTTTAAAATTTCCTCGACTTACGAACAAATTCGACTTACGAACAACCCTTTGGAACGGAACTAGTTCGTAAGTTAACAGATCGTATTTTGAATCTTGATTTTTACAAGTTTTCTACTTAAATTGACATCTGTTTTTCTATCGAATTTAATTCTCAAATTTTTAATTCATTTTGAGAAATGTCAACTTTTGATAGTTAAAAATATTCATTTTTTAAGTAATCAAACGAAAAAAATTACGTGATTACAAAACAAAAAGTAAATTTAATCATTTCGGTTTATACTTCTTGAAATATGAATCGTGATTTATGCACTTTTACTATCGAAATTAACAACTGTTAAGTTATTTCGTTTAATTATCTTGTTAAAACTATTAAGTAAAGAAGTATAATATGGCTTTTTTTTATAGATTTCCAATCCAGGTAAGTCATAATTTTCCAAAAAAAAATTAAAAAAAAAAATCCAATTTTTCATTAGTTACAAATGTGTTTTTTCAAATTGACATCTGTTTTTCTATCGAATTTAATTCTCAAATTTTTAATTAATTTTGAGAAATGCCAACTTTTGTTAAAAATATTCATTTTTTAAGTAATCAAACAAAAAAAATACGTGATTACAAAACAAAGTAAATTTAATCATTTTGGTTTATACTTCTTGCAATATGAATCGTGATCTATGCACTTTTACTATCGAAATTACCAACTGTTAAGTTATTTCTTTTAATTATCTTGTTAAAATTATTAAGTAAAGAAGTATAATATGAATTTTTTTATAGATTTTCAATCCAGGTAAGTCATGATTTCCCAAAGAAAATTTTAAAAAAATCCAATTTTTTATTAGTTTCAAATGTGTTTTGATTTCATGATGAAACGTCGCAAGAAAATATTTAATACACACTGACGAAATTGTTAAGAAATGATCACTTAATCACTTATCTTATACTTCAAATGTTTATGTAATGTCTATATTTTTATATTAAAATTTTTAACTGAAATAATCTCAAAAATAGTATAACTTCAACTTTTTTTTATGTAATAATTAAATGTAGTTAAAATTCACTGATTATCAATTACTGTTCTTACAAAATTTGTACAGTTGTTATAGAAGAACCAAATAAATTAGTTAGAGGTTGTCCTACCCACGATTCCGTGGGCGCCGGTTCGAATCCTGGTCAAGCCAGGCCCTTTGAGAACTCTCTCACAGAGCATCGATATAATACTGAAGACTATCTACAAAACGGCAGCCAAACAACAAATTATAGAAGAATATAATGGTAAAAACTTCCATTGGGAATTATTACAATATAAAAATTAATAAATTCTTTTATATTTGATCAAAAATTATTAACAAACCTAATTCTACATCAATAATAATTGCATATTTTACTTTTATTAATATATACTTTTCATGTACAATATATTTATTTATATCTTTTCAATTTCAAATCATTTAAAACATGAAATAGATTCCTTGAATTTGTCTCGCAATAGTTTCCATGAAAGGAAAACAACGTAAAACCATTAGCAACGGAACAATATTATCTAGCTGATACTATATTTGTTTAATTTATATTCACTTGCACTATTTGAAATGCGATAAGTGACTTACTCCGTTTGTTTCTATAAATGTAGAAAGGAGAAATAAGAGCTGCACACGTTCTTCATAACCTTATTTCTATATAGACACACACACAATATCAGATTTATTATATGCAAGTAAATATCATCTCGTTGATACTATCTTATTTCCATTAGTTACACAACAATAATGATACAATGCATGCGTTAATCAGGTAAATCGAGTGGTTCGGAACGTTTCAGTCGTTGGGTTTGTTGAGCTGTTGTCAAGTGGATTTATATATATATAAAGAAAGAGATAGAAAAAACAACATGTGCAATATTCAACAGACAGCATTTCTTTAGATAACTTAGGCTGTTTTTTGAAGACCTCTTCAAAATATATTTGATAAAATCTATACCTTTTGGGAATGTTTCCTTTCCTTCACTAATAAATTACAAAAATGAATATTTTTCAAATTTATTACTTCATAATTATAGCATTTTAAACTTTTTGTTCTTAAGAAGTTTCCAAGAAAAATACTTTATTAAGAATATTGTAATTCGTTTGAGAGCTAACCGTTTTCCAAACCGAAAAACGCAGCTGCACAACCAACGCATAGGCACTTTAAAAAATTGCGGTATTCTTTGTTAAACCGGCTTAAAAAGTTTTCCCTCAAATGTGCATACGTAAAAGCATTGGATTGAATCCATAAAATATGTCTTCAAATTCTCAAATCCTTAATAATCCTTACTTGATGCACTACACCTGTTTCTATCTATGTACTTTAACAAAAAAAAATCACTATAACAGCAAAACCGAGAAATCAGCACTGTTTGAAACCGCACTAATCGAGGACTTTAAAACTGCAGAGGAAAAAAAAATTAAATTTATTTTCTTTTGAAATATGATCAAAACCGCACTATGCTGTATTTGCAGCACACTTTTATACTGTAACATATAATTTTAATTAGTTAGTTAATAAATTGAAGTTTATAAATTATTTGTTTTTGTAAATATAGAATTGTACAGTTAATCGCTTAGAAATAAACATGAAATAATAAAAAAAAAACAAGTTTACAAGATTCTTTTATATAAATGTATACTTAATCTAATAAAATGAAAGAAATTAATATTAATGTCGTCGAATTATAATGAAACATTTTACTACCTAACCATTTCATATAAATAAAAAGATTCAACCTGTTTCGTCGTGAACAGATGAAATAAATTATCGAAACCAGTCTTAATGTAAAATAAAAAACAACTTAATGATATTTTTTTTTATAATTTAATGATGTGTATATTAAGTAAAATGAAAAAAAAAATTGGACATTGGATTATAAATTTCAAAAATTAAGTTAAAAAATCATACATGTAATAAATATTTTCTTTGAAATTTATATCTTATCTTATTTTTTTCAAAATATCTATTAATTAACTACATTCTTCCAAATCTATATTACATAATTAGAAAAGTATAATATTGAAATTTAAAAAAATGCAACAAAAAATCAAAAAATTTTGCTTTGAAAATAATTAATGAAAATTGTTCAAATTGTTTTAGTTTTTTAATAAATGCTTGAGAAAACGTATGAAATTAGTCATTTTCATAAGGATATTAAGAAAATTTGATATTATACTAATGGTTAAGAAAAGCTGCGAAAAATGCAACAAGAAATCAAAAATTGTGTTTTGAAAATAATTAATGAAAATTGTTCAAATTGCAATAATTTTAGTTATTTTAATAAATGCTTGACAAAACGTATCAAATCAGTCATTTTCTTAGGATATTAAATATAATTTGATATTATACTCATGGTTGAGAAAAGCTGCGACGAGGTAATAAATTCCTTCCGCTGAATATTCAAGAGGTTTATAACTTATCGATTTTGCACTTAAATTCACTGACATTATACGTTTATCGATTAGCAGTAAATATTTCAAATTCAAAGCGCATTATATAAAAGAATTTGATAGAAAGACGAAAAAAAACTCGTTTAATAGAAATTCAAATTTTAGTTTAATCCGTTCTAAAATTTCCTGATTTTTACTCGTATAGTGAAACATATTCAAAAATATACATAATATGTGTAAACAAGTTTTAAAAAGCTAGTCTTTTTTCTTACAATTCATTTTGCTCGTTCCACTGTAATTTGTTGCAAATTAAAGTAAATTTATTTTGCTAAATCGTGTTCAAATTGCAATTTATTTATAGTTTTCAATTAAAATTTATATAAATTCTTATAAACTAAAGAAACAAAGATGATAAATCCAATATATAAAACCTTCAAGTATTTTGATACTATATAGTTTTTTTTTTTTCTTAATAATAAATCTTGTATCCAAGTTGAGAACGATTATTTCCTATACACATTACTCTTTCTTTAACTCATTTTTTTTTTCACAATCTTTCCGTCAACGTCGCAGCTAAATAAATTGTCTTCAAGTGCATTTTCTCTTTCTCCAAACCCAATTAAACATAGTCTTCGTGAGGCCACTTCCCATTTTCTTCCCACATGCTTACATCTTAATCCTGCCTTTAAACATCTTCAGATTGAGAGCCTCTGGATTTAACACATGTTCGACTTTCCAGTAAATTTAATAATAAACACAAACGAAAGTGAAAACTAAAACGTACATTTCTTTGAGTGTAAGCATATTTGCAATTCATATTTTGTACGTTATACATGTATGTAAGCACATAAACAAAATAAACATGCTCTAAGTAAGAGAACCGAACGAAATGGAGAGAATAGAAAAATAAAATAACGTAAGGTAATAGCGTAATTATTAAACAAGGTCACTGCAATTAGGTTTTTTTTGTTGCCTCGACTTTAGAATTAATAATAATCACTTTGGTGTAGTAGGAAATGGAGTTAGTTTTATGTGTATGACAAATCGGCGATGAATTAAAAATGGATTTGCTGCTGGGAAGTTGTAACAAAGAGTTTCTTAGCACAAGGAAACGGTCTATTTATAGCAAAGAATACTAACAATTTGTTGGAATAAACGACACTTTTGTATGGAGTGGAGTGAAAAAGTAATGACTATTTTTTTGTATGTAATACTGTTGTATATGGAAATGAATGGGGGAATCGTTCTTTGAAGATTTGGGCTTACTAATTGGGGACCAACTGAGACTTTTTTTGATATAATAAAAGCTGCGTGAACTATTTCTTGTACATTGAAAGAAGTTGTCATAAAGAAGGGGAAATATCCCTTTTTACAAGCATATTGATGAGTGGATGGAAACATTCAAGGGCTTTTCTGTACCTTGAGAATAAAACTGAAATAAGTATATTGATTAATGAATATACGATGCATATTTTTATCATAAAAAATATAATTATTTTACTTCCAGTTAAAAAAAAAATCATATGCGAATTTCTTTAATTATCAATCAATTAGTTAATTAAATAAGATAATGTAAATTTCTTTCATTGTAAAGGGTGTCCCAAAATTAACGCAAGATTTGAATTTACCGCTATTTGTGCAGTAAAGTGTTGCAACCCAAAAAAAAAATGTTTACTTTTTGTTTTGTATGAATGTTTCGATTAACGTTATTATTTATGTGATGTTGTGAGAATATTTGTTTTGTCATATGTAATACTATACGCAGTAAAACCTGTTTTTGTGCGGTCCTTTTTTATGCGATTTTTTATGCGGTATATGAAATCTAACCAATTTCAACGGTGTTGGCACCATTGTAATGTTTCTCAAACGATTAATTTCTGCAAATGTACAATGGAAACGTGAATGTGTCCATGTGTAATTTAATTATTTATTTTGTTTGGATGCACTTTCTCATGCATTTCGTAAATCTTTGACGTATTTTGTATGTGCGATTTTTTTTATGCGGTCCATATCCACCGCATAAAAAAAGTTTCTGTAATCTATTATTATACAAAGTTATTTGTTACATGTAAGAATTTATGAAAATTTTTGTGCGTTTTTTTATATACCGCACAAAACCACGTTTTACTGTAAAGTGTATATATTAACATTCTTTAAATGATTATAAAAGTAGAACAAAAAACAATGAATGATAATTCTGTTTTTTTTTACTTTTATAATAATAAAATTATTGATTGAAAAATAGATGATTCATAAAAAAAATCATTAATAATCATAGGTTGCGTGTTTATTATTTGTAGTTTGTTATGTAACTTGATGAAATGAATTTATTTATTGCGGCTATGGAAACGGTTTTTAGTTATGAAAAGTTGCGTTAGTTTCCGTAATGTTTTTGACATTTTGGCTAATACGATTTTAAACGATCGGGGTTATATAAGCGCGAATCTTTCGCTTGTTTCTTTTGGAAAGGATGCGCACTTGAAGTGCTTCCTCGGTCTCGGCTGCAGACCGGGAAATGGACGAAGAACAAGAAGGAGGAGGAGGCGGCAACGACGGAGGCCGCAAAATGGACACGGATAGAGCGTTGGCGGTTGACACACTTTCCAATTTGGCGCGTTTCAATTTTGTTTTTCCTCTTATTATTATTATTCAATTTGTTTTGTTTTGTTTCTTTTTTTCACCCGTTGCTACTGTTGTTCTTTGTTCGCTAGTTCTTATTATTACGCAACACTGTAAATATTATCGAGTGCTGTTGGGTAGTCCGATAATCTCCGGAGGCGACCGCAAAGAGTAAGAAAGATGATGGAGAGAAGCAAAAATAAAAAACACGAAGAAATAGGAGGAAAAATGATTGTCCGAGGCGAGCCGGGCGGCGCCAATCGCCGCCAAGGTCAAGTGTTTTACTTCGGCCACCTTTTCTTTCCGACGGAGGATTTACAAAAAAAAAATCGCTTAAAAGATATAATTATAATAATAATGTTTAGAAGCTGAGTGCAGAAGGTAGAGGTGAAGGTGTTCGAGGTGAAGGAGGAAGAGGAATAATAATAATAATGGACGCGGTGCTTTTCCTGGCTTTATGACATTAGAGGTTGATGAACCTCGACGGAGTGCATATCATCATCATCAACATTACCATCGGCGCGTTGGTAGCAATAACTAAACTAAGGATACGTTTATTACCAGCTCTTTGGGGCTCTCCGGTGATCTCCTGGTAGAGAAAGAATATTCAACTAGCGATCAAGACACGAACCCGTTCTTAGACACATGCACACCAAGCACAAAATCAAAAGAGAGAAAAAAAACACACACATATACACAGAAAGAGCGAACAGCAACAACAAACGAAACTTCTTATACGGATAGCAGCAAAAAAAAAACACAAACACACACAACACACGAGGGAGAACAGCGTCCCTCTACTCCGTCACTTCACCAAAAAATAAATAAATGGAAGAACTTAAGACGTATTTAATAGTATAAGAAACTGCACCCTTTTCTTAGTGAGTCGGCTTCCTCGCTGCTTCTTTCTCTCAATATCTCTTCCCCCTTTTTTTCTTCTCTTTTCTGGACGTTTTCCACCGCAGGCCTCTTCGTGCACTGAGATTTCACTTTTGTACTTCTTCAGAGATTGTGGTTTTGTCTCAAGGTGTGCTCGCAGGCGCATGCCCAGCTCGAACACTACAGTTATTCAACTTAAACCAAGACAGGTTTACAGAGTACCATTTACCTAACAGGTGTCTCGCATAGGCGGCGAATGTGGGACCGGTGACGTTCGGACGGACGCCCACGGACGTACCGGAACGGCGATAGGACCGAGCCCTGATCCCCGCGGGATTCCCTCCGCGTTCTCTGAAATACCCATTTCGGTCGACCGAATACAATAATGGTATCAATAATCCGATTCCCACGCCTTGTTGCACACACAATAAACGCCACCATTTAAGTCGAATCTTTGCTGGTCGTAGGTGGCTGGTCTCATTTCTTTTTGTTTCGCTTGTCTACCACACGATTTACGCAATTACTATTCCGACACCTCATTATTACTCATTTCATTGAGTCAACTTTGCAAAACCAATCTTTATTAGCTTCCAATATAAGACTACAGTTCAGAAATTAATACTATACTTAAACAAGACTTCAATTCTATTCCACATTATATATAACGTAATAAAAAGTATTTAATTTTTTAAATTCTGATTTATATAACGTAAAACCTGAGAAAGTACACGTGGGTGACTTTATTCGTCACTTTCATCCTAAAATAGGCTTCTTCTAACATAAAGAATCTTAGTTTTATGTTAAAAGTTGAAAATCTACAAATATTTTAAACGAATATGTTGAAAATTAGGAAATAAAATAAGACATAAAACAAAAACAAAAAGTTGGAAATTTATTAATATATTTAAGCGAGAATGATGAAAATTATACAAAGTAATGTTGTATCAACTTTATAAAGCCAAAAATATGTATAATATTTTTACATTGAAAATCACTCGACGCAAACCAAAACAAAATTGAAAATCTCCTAATTTCATAAATTAAATTCTTTTCATGTTTAATATAATCCTTGTATTATTTATTAGTAATTATTAGTAAATGGATTATCTTTAGTAATTAGTAAAAATTAATTATATAACAGCAATGTATTAATATCTAAGTTGATTTACTCACTTTAATAGTTTATTCAATGTTATATAAAATCGGATATTTTGCATTGTACTTATTCAAACAATTTCACATAATATGTCGATAAGAATTATCGTATTTAATCGTATTTTGTAAGGTTTTATAAGTATTTCACTTTAAATAAGTTAAAATTAACTTTATTTTATTTACACTCTGGTTTTTTAACAATTTCAAATCAGGATAAAGTTGTTACATTTATCTGTAAATTCAGCACTAAAAGTCGCATAAAACTTAAAGTTACATCGCGAAATTTACGAGTTTCGAGCAATCAATGAAATTACTTCCAAATAACTACTTGAAATTCAGTTTCACACGTCTTATTGCATCGCAATTATAGTTTTCTCAACATTTTATTTTATTAAGTTTTTTAATCTAATTCAAAACAAAGTGGATTTAAATTCTATAAACTATAATACGTTTAATATCAGAGAAAATAAAAGTAATTTTGAATAAGAAACCAAGATTCAAAATGAAATACTTCTTATTGAAAACTTTACTACTTTCATACTTTTGACCATAATTCTTTAACATCTAGGTAATAATACAAAGGTAATAGAAATGTACAAGGGTAATCTGCTAGTGTAACAAGTCTTAACAATGTTTTCATTCACACAATAGCCAAATCTGAAGGATCACAATTTTCCAAGAAGAACGATCTTCTACAATAAAGATGAACTAAAGTCAGGACACCCAACAACTCAAGTGGGTTAATAAAGACATTTGGAATACAAGCAATAAAGTTTAGCTTTTACTACTTTTGACCGCACGTAATTAGAACTTTATTTTTAGTAAAGTATATTCATTTTTAAATGAATTTCCATTCGTTCATTCATTCATCAGTAACTTTCATTTTTCTGAGTAAAATAATCAAAGCAATATATGAATCATGTTACATTCTCCAAATATCGAAATTTGATATGCATTTTGTCGATCTATTATAGTTTTTGACAAAATCACTATCACTTTATACTGATTTTGGTAACACTAACACTGCTTTTTCCTGCATTAATTTGTCATTACTTCATTTTTAAATTACAACTCAAATGAATAAATCACAATCAAATATGAATATACGTTAAATATCCAATTTTCATATGCATCTTTAGGATCAATTCATATGTATTATAGATTCCGATAAAATCACTAAAAAGTAAATTAAACACAATCCTAACACAGATCTGCTCATCTCAATTCAAACAGTTTAATTCAATGATGCAAACGTTGATTTATTTATAATATCATTCCTACCTACTACATTATCAACTACTACAGTTCAATAATTGAATTAAGTTTAGCGGATATTTCCATCGGCGCAAACTAATTACGTAATCCGAGCACAACATTTTCGTTTTCGTTCGTCCGTTTTATTTTTTTCCTCCTTCTTCTTTCTAACACTTTCGTTTCGATTCCGCGTTTTCGCTCTTAATTTCAACTCATACTAATTACATATAAATCGCTCCGGGTTCAGCATGAAAATGCATTATTTAGTGAAAAATAAACAGTTCGGTTTTAATGGAGCCTCCGGCTCAAACACACTGCAAATACATACATATTAGTTTCACCGACCGAAATGAACTGTGCTGTATCGAAAATTGAATTAATTGTGGCCTTTGGAAATATATAGATAGAATCGTTTCCAAAGTTATTCAAACATTTCTCCGCTATATTTAACATATAAAAAGAGCATGTTGATTTTTAATTCTTTTATTAAAAATGCGCAGCTCGATTTTCGCAATTAAAATGGAAATAACATTTATAGGGGAACGAGTGATTTCGATTTAAAACATGAATATTTTCGATTCATTATGTAAACAGTTGCATTCGTTATTTGCGACAATTGAAAAAAATATTTATTATTATTTACTGAATTGGAAAATTTTGTAATAATTGAATATTCAATATAAAGGTATGTACAAACTATAACAAACCTAACCTTAGTAATCATATTAATTTCTAACCTAACCTTAATAATCATCCATACTTTTAAAATAATCTAACTTTAATAATTATATAAATTTTTAAGCTAACCTAACCTTAATAATCATATACATTTCTAAGGTTCCTTAATAATCATATACATTTCTAAGGTATCCTAACCTTACTAATCATCTTAGAAATGTATATGATTATAAGGTTAGGTTAGCTTAGAAATGTAGATGATTAGTAAGGTTAGGATACCTTAGAAATGTATATGATACTAAGGTTAGGTTAGCTTAGAAAGTAGATGATTAGTAAGGTTAGGATAGCTTAGAAATGTAG